TTCTCGTCGATGTACGCAATTATGCGGACAGACTGGGGATTTCCGGCGATGATGAGGAGGACACCATGTGCTGGTAAAGGTATACCATTATGAGCTCCATGCCAAGTTTCCTGGCCCGAGGCCGAGGTCATAGGCCACGAGTAAGGGTTCATGGCTGCTAGTGATGAGAAAAAAGACAAGGTACTGAGTGAAGGCCGAATTGCTCTTCTCTTACCTTATATTGCTTCAAGGCCTGGGTGAGGCGTGCAGGCCTCTTTCTGACGAGACCTGCTGCAACTCGGAATGTCCAGTTGCAACCAATCAGTACCTGAGTACACTTCCAGTGACCTTTCTTGTAACTGGAATTGCGCATAGCCTCCATGGAAAGTGGAGGGTGCCCGGTCAAAAAGCCTACAAACTTCAACAGTTGTGCCAAGCACTAGGACGAAGCAGCGAGACAGAATTTACAATTTCCTATTGTGTCAACTAAGTCCAAAGAAACCAGAATTTCCATTTACCATTATGTTATTGACCTATGAGAATCTCTAGAAACAGCGGGTTGAAGACTGGAGAGTGCGTAAACCCAAGCGGGTTTCAAACATTCAGCACCAAATGCACCATCGCACCAGCGAATGGGGCTCTGCAAATTCCATTTTGTAGCACCAAAATCGTCTAAATTCCATTTATGTCACTCGTGTATCTCCGCGCCATGGTGGACATGGACATATTGGTGCTTGAGTGACCTTTCACTGGGCATGATTGCGATGCGAATATACATTACTCGAAAGATGGTCTTAGATGGCTTGCTAGTTCAACACCTCTATGGTTGTCAGCAGGGCTCGCAAACCAATCATGACCTATGTCCAAAGCCCAAATTGTTGTCAACGAGGCCACCAGCCAGCGCCGCACGGGTGGTCAGGCAGTTCGAGAACCAAGCCACGACCGACAGGGTAGGTAGCTCACTAACAAATTAACTGCTTCTGCAGTGTACTGCTTCCTGACTCAGAAGCCTTGGAGCATACCAATGACATGAGTAGCCCAGAAAGAATCCTCAGTACGGGCGAGCATCTCTTTATAATAGAGCTGTATCTTTCCTCTAGATCTTTACTTGATCTCCGTTACAGATTCCAACGGCCACCAACACTACCAACAATTTCTAGAACCTTTCAAACCTCTACTACTTCGAGTCTATAAGTTGGCAGTACTCACACCTAACCTAAACCTGACCTCATCTGGCAACTATGCCTCGTCGCTCCCGTCCGCGCCCCTACTTGTGGTATTGTCGCAATGGTCCTTGCGGTAAAAAATCTCCTGACCATCGCGATTTCAGCGACTGCGAGGACTGCCAACTGTACAAACACACCAAATACTTCGACAACGGACATCTTCACTCAAAGTTTCGACATAGTTGTTTGAACACGGTCAAGTCATAGTAAGTTTTCTCAACCATAATTTAGCATAAACCACGCAATGAAGCTAACAGTGCGTGTCGAGCAGCACGAAGCTCTGCCTTTCTCTTGTTCTCGGTTTACCTATCTCCAACGTTACGACACCCCAAGTCGTCATTCTCGCCCTCATCGCTACCCCAGACGCATGCTTCTCAAGCATCGCCGGGATCCAACTCTTCGTAATCAGCCAAACCACCGGTAATCACAAAGAGCCCATTGACGCACAGCTTGATGTCGAAAAGACAAGCTGTGTGTCTTCACAGTCTCCCCAGTCTCCCGATCAGCCCCCTCAGATCAGGAGCAACGACACTCAACATCATGACGAGAGTCTGGTAGACCCTGAACCCGAATACGTTGACTCTACCTGCACCGACACCAACAGCACTGCAGATGCTTCCGCAGTCAAGGATGACTACTGGAAATGGGACGTTGACCGCCAGAGGTTCGTCCATATTGATGAGAAAACTGGCAAAGAAACAGTATGCCCGGAGTGGTTTGACTAGAGGGCTAAAGAGCTGGCTTGATGCCACGGCCCAACTTCTGGGGGAGCTTTCTTGAAGGTTAATGGTTTGGAATACATGGAGGTATTTCATTTTTGGAATATTGTCTGTGATTGGGTCTCCTATGGTTTCTCTGGCTTTCTGTTTCACATTGCTCTTTCACCTATATGAAACTGGACTTTTCTTATTTCCTTACCTACAGTACTCGACAATTGACGCCGAGTGGACTGTTGGCTCTTGCCAGACCTCTTACGTAGGGGAAGGTCGGGCGGAGAAAATAGCCTTGCCTTCAGTATTTGATTGGGTTACACTAGTTATTTCCGCTTTTCATCTTCATTAAATTCGCTTTGTCTTTTCATTACATTCGCTATAAGACAGCATTTTACTTCTTGGAGGGCTGGACACCACCTACCTACCTTACCTAGGCACCTTCAACAGCAACAACACACCTAGGTATTCTGGAAACAGTTGTACCACCCGTGCACTAGATCCATGATTACTTATCTCATTGGATTAAATCTGTTCAGGTAAAAACTCAGCCCCAGGCTTTCTTGAGAGCTTTCAAGGAATTCCTCATGAAGCCTTCGGAATTTCCTGTCCTTCGGGTTATCATCAAAAAGGAGACCAGCGGTTTACGGTGGATCTTGATTATTTCAATAAACGCCTTCAGCTACAATCGCACGCTATTGTATTCAGATATTCGCTAGGGATTCTTTGGAATATCAGGGATAATGTGTCTTTTTCTTCTTCTCCTCCATGGATAGCTTACTAACCTACGGTTTGGCTGAACTTTGTTCTGATATCCTATGAAGCGTCCTGAGCTTACAATAGACAGCAAAGAGTGAGCGTTAATGTCAGTGATATACTAAGCGCTTCACTACCTTATCTAGGCTCAATAGATGCTATCTGATTACCTGCCCTTAGATACAGAAGCATGATATATATTTGAAGTAAATGGATTCGTTAGGAAACTGTTACTATCCGTGTAGAGTAATTATTACATAACGTTTCTGGGCATGCAATGATTGGTGGAGTTTTTTAATCTTTCTCTGCATAGTACTACATGAACAAAAAAGCGTATCTAAGCTCTTGGAGAAATTTTCGGATAAAGACAGTATATGTTTGCGTGTTGAATGGCGTTTTTAGAGGGTCTAGTTGACAGCAATTGAGTAGCTGAAGCTGCAGCCTTGTGCTTTTATTAAAGGCAAGCCGAGTGATAGTGAATCTAAAGTGAGTTGCTTAGAACAGCTTAGGTCTTCGCAGTTGTTACTGTTAGGTAACGATCCAATATTCTGGCCCCCTTCCTGGACGGGCGCAGCGGGACTTTAATGAGGTAGGTATGATTGTTGACAATACCCAAATGAGTGCTGTTTTCGGCTGGCTTCAGAAATGCCATGAAAAGACTACGGCACTTAAGAAGTATCCCGAGACGAGAAGTACATATATCAAGCTAGCAGCAAACATGCAACAGTGTAAGTCAAATGAGATTGGAGTGTGAATTCGTCATCTGGGTATGGTCACTTTGGCCCCCATTGCCTGATCGACGCCACACAAGGCCATTCTCGCGCCGACCTAACATCAACAGTTAGCCTACGAGATTTGGACAGCTTTCGGCTCGAGCACCCCTTTTTGACAAGAATATGGTTACCTAAACTATTGGAAAGTGATTATCAGCGCTCTTCTGCTTTTATTTAGAAGACTTTGTCTCAATGCTATTTCTGTTAGCTGGTGATCGGCAAGAAATATAGAATGGTGCTTAGCGTTGAGAGAAGGCAGAATCTAGCCAGCGTCCCAGATATATGTTACCCAGGCTGTGGTATGGTAATTCCATCTTGACTGCTTCCAGTGTGCTGACAGGAAAGCAGAAAACGCCCGCATCGAAGCACTGAGGGTGGGCCAGTCCCAAGAACTCTGTGAGACAGGGTCAGCATTCCAAACCCACATATTCAGACTGTAAAGAATGTGTCCCCGACGACAACCAGAGAGCCAATGAACAGCTGGACGCGGTGTTTGGGAGGTACCTGGCCTACTGCAACGGAACCCCACCGGCATCCAACTCTCCTCCAGCGCCTGATACATCTACACAGAAAGAAAACCTCCCAGCTTCGACAGAGTCGAAGCCTAGCACAATCACCTTCATTCCTCGGCCAACGCAAACGTCTTTGTCCACAGATAGAGCTTCTACCTCTTCGAATAAACCCAGACGTCTTCATCATTGTCATCATCGTCATTGCCAGAGACCGATACAAAGTCCACCACAAAGTCGACAATAGATGTTGACTCCCAAACGCCCTCAAAGACCTCCAGTCTCACATTCCCGGCAACTAGCCACACTTCATCTGCCTCGCTCACCAGCACTGAGATAACGACATCCACACAAGCCCCCTCGCCCAGCGACGACCCTCCTCCAGCCACCCCAGGTCCAACCCCAACACTGGTCGTAGGCGGAATCCTCTCTTCGCTCTTCTTTCTTGTTCTTATCGCTCTGGCTCTCTATTTCTACCGGCGGCGGCACCGTCCGCATAGAAAGTCTCAGAGAAACTCCCAGCAACACAAAAGGATTGAAGAGATAGAGATACAGCATAATGACACAACAGAGATGGGCAGCAGGTCAATAAGTCTGCCACCGCAGGAAATCGATGGATGGCCTGCCCCGAGGGTTGAGATGGATGTTGATGGAGGGTATGTCGAGATGGATGTGGATTTGGGGTGTTGTGAGATGGAGGTACCAGAAGCAATCTCGAGGAATGGGAGTAGCGATGGTGGGAAATAGGGAGATGACTATTAAAGATAAAAGGAAAATAACGGGGGCGAAATACGGGTAAAAAGGGGGTGAGTAGAAATCAGGTTTAGGGTTTAGATGACACTGGCCTAGCACATGAGAAACCTCAGAAAGACACATGCCTGCCCTTGAAGCTGATACATACATTTTCCAAAGTGATTGAGTCGATATAGGCGTCCAAAAGAGCGTCAGAATGTAACCCCCTTCTCCTTCCGGTCATGCGATGAGGTTGAAAGAGAGCTGGCTGAGGAGCTTGGGCCCTCGGGAGTTGAGTGGGTCAAGGGTCTTCCGTCATCGGGGAGCTCCTGCCAAAAGACACTGGGATGCCTGCGGTCGAAAAATTTCACGATAAGAAAGGGGTCCAAAATCCCAATCCCCTTGAAACTCATTAGCTTCACTTATTTCAGGCTCTCTCATAGGTTTAGATCCCAACTTTGCAGCCAAAGTGTGGGGTAACAGCTCAGGAACGACGTCAATATCAACATAATGCGGGGCAACCTACCCACTGAAAGCGTGCTCACCTCCAAGCTCCCACCACCCACCCATCTTACCTAACGCGATCACCAAGAGCGTGGGCAAACCTCTCTGAGCCTTCACTCTGCTTAATGCCTCGTGATTCCCCGCATAAACCCCGTCTTCCTCTCTTGTTACTCACCTCTCTCCTAATCCTCATCCTGGCGGCCTTCATCCCCTCCATAACCCCCCGCCTCACCCTCATCCTCTCCCACCTCCGCTCCCAATCCACCACCCCAAACCTCGCCAAAATGACGTCCCTCTACTCCCGCGAGCTCGAAATCGCCCAGCTAGCCGTCCAACGCGCCTCCATCCTCACCAAACGCGTCTTCCACGAGACCTCCAAAGGAACCGTCTCCAAAGACGACGCCTCCCCCGTCACCATCGGCGACTTCGGCGCCCAAGCCCTGATCATCTCCGCCCTCAAGCACAACTTCCCCCACGACGAAATCGTCGCCGAGGAAGAGGCCACCGAGCTCCGCGCCTACCCTCCCCTCCGCGATCAAATCTGGGAGCTTGTCCGCACTACCAGCTTGGATGACGTCGCTGCTGAGGGGCTTTTGGGAGGCGGGATCAAGGATGCGGATGCAATGCTTGATATCATCGACCAAGGAAACAGCAAAGGTGGAAAAGTAGGGAGGGTCTGGACTATTGATCCAATTGACGGCACCAAGGGTTTTTTGAGAGGGGGGCAATACGCCGTTTGCCTTGCCCTGCTACAGGACGGGGATGTCAAAGTGGGAGCGATTGGGTGTCCTAATTTGCCGGTTGACGATGCGGCGCCTTTGACGGCCGATATCGGGGCTAATGCTACCGACGACGAAGGGAGGGGTGTGCTTTTTTCTGCTGTTATTGGACAGGGCGCAACGAGCAGACCTCTCAAGGCCGGTGCCCTGGCTGAGGGGAGGAGCATCTCTATGAAGCCTCTTACCGACATGTCCAACGCAAGCTTTTGCGAGAGCGTCGAGGCGGGACATTCGAACCAGAGCGAGTCGGCGCAGATTGCGCAGAAGCTGGGGATTACCAAGCAGAGTGTGAGAATGGACTCGCAGGCCAAGTACGGGTCTATTGCCAGAGGCGCGGGAGATATCTACCTGCGTTTGCCGACTTCCAAGACATACCAGGAGAAGATCTGGGATCACGCTGCTGGTGATTTGATTGTGAGGGAAGCTGGCGGCGAGGTAACCGATATCAAGGGTAACCGTCTGAATTTTGGCGTGGGGAGGACGTTGGCCACCAACAGCGGTGTCATTGCTGCGCCAAAGGCTGTTCACAGCCAAGTCCTGAGCGTCGTTCAGGAGGTCCTGGGTGTAAAATAAAGCATGGCAAGGGGAAAAGCAGAAAAAAACGTCTGAAGTAAATGTACAAGTTCTTATGGCACAGATACAGGCCACACGATCATACAACTCACCAAGAATCCAATGGTGAATACTACTGCTAGATGTACACAGATGCCCCTTTTCTTCTCCTGATGGCGCATCATTTATTTGATCTTCTTTGCCTTGAGCTTGATCGTTTCATCATTAATGAAAATGCCCTTCCCCTTGTACGGCTCCGGCACTCTCCACCTCCTGATTTTGGCGGCAAAGGACATGATTTGCTCCTTGTCGATACCCTCGAGGAGGACGCGGGTTGGTTGGGGCGCACTGGCCTTCATGCCGAGGGGGAGGCCCATCTCGACGGGGTGGGAGAAACCGAGCTTGAGGCAGACGAACTGCTGGCCCGGGTACTCTTCGAGGGCGGGGCGGGGCTCGACTGTGGCTCTGTAACCGATACCGACGAGGCGGAGGACGGCAGTGTGGCCTTCTGATACGCCCATGATGTAGTTGTTGAGGTAGGACCAGGTTGTACCTGTGGATTTTTCGTCCCAAGTCAGCGTTTCTTTTCCCTTTTGCATGGGTAATGGGGGGAAAGCATACCCCACATCTCCATTTGCTTCTTTTGCTCCTTGTCTTCCACGGTCAAGACTGCTTTCCTGCCCTCGGCGTCGTGGTCGAGTTTGACGAAGGAGGGGATGTCGAGCTCCAGTTGGCCTGTTGATTCCCCCACAGATTGACATGTCAGCCCCTCTCCTCCCACTTTGCAAATCCCAATTCTCTCAATCATTCTTTTTCCAGGTAAATCTCACCCAATGGCCCCTTCACGACCACCTTCCTCTTCTTGGTTTGCAGGTAGGTGGTCACATCCTTCTTGACGAACAGATCCCCCACTTGAAGCTCTACTCCGGGAGGGATAGAGATTGGATTCCTCCCCAACTTTGACGGCCGGTTCGCTGTGGCGGAGAATGTTCGTCGGGGCGCACTGGTCTGGAGGGCTGGTACGAGGAAGCTGGGGAGGACTGCGGTGGCTGTCGAGGAGGAGGAGCACGAGGCGAGTGCTCGTCTGGTGGTGTTGGAGGCGAGCATTTTGGGCGATTGGGAGACCTCGCCGTGGGGGTTCAGGGGGAGGAGGGATGGAGGGAGTGAATGCGCGCGCAAAGTGTCGCGGAGCTCGGAAGCTGGGGGCGGCGTCGGGGAGTGGGCTGGCTGCCAGCGCTGGGAGGTGGAAATCGCTTTTGATAAAAAGATTGGAGCACGGACCGCGGGAGCTTTGGAGTGGTGTGGTGGGGCGACTGGCAGGTACGGTTGATGAGTCAGCAAGACAACGACAGGTCAACATCAGGGGCATCAAAAGTGTAAGCCTTTTATGGAAGAACGAGTAAATTGTTGATGTTTCTTCTCGTTGGAACTCTCCCAATGTCATATGGTCATGATAACTTTAAACTCGGCTTGACTTCATTGTTTTGGTGTCAACTTGGCGTTCTTTTCACCCCGTCTCGGATGAGGACTCACATCGCGTGCTGGCACTCCAACCCTTACAAATGTTGCACCGGGGAAATCATCGGGTCCTTTGGGGATGTTCTCAATTGAAGGGAGATAAGAATAATGATATGTCTAGGGATGGTCGCTTGCTATCAGATAATGGCATGTTGGAGGATGCAGCCCCCTCTGGAACGCCATGGGCATCCGCATACAGGAGAAACAAGAGCACTGCCAGTGGCCCCGTCATAATATCATTTGACATGATATATGTTAGGTATCTTGAATAATACTGGAGGCGGGTTGACCAGAAAGTGCGGAGTATGTTCGCAAGGCATGTTTTCCATCATTGGCCCTTCCACAAGAGCATATATTTTCATGGTTTGAGGACAAAGAGGATTTCAATCTGATATTCTTACCCAGCTGGCTACCAGTGAGGCGAACGGCCCTATTATTTGGGGAATACCCTAGAATCTTGCTGATAATGCGGGTAAGACTGCCATAGACAGATCCAAGCAGCCTCTGCTCTTGACCCACGAGACAATGGAATGTTACTTGCTCTCAGGAAAATCGGGACCTTTCCGCTTATCTGAATTATCTATAATCACCTGATTACAACCGTTACATCATTGCCACTGGAGCAGGAAGGAGGTTGCCTGAAATTATATCCGGCCTCCCTCGCACCTTCCACTCTTCACTCCTAAAATTCAGAATTTCACCCATAACCTCCAATACTTGATGACCATCCTCTTTTCTTTCTCCCGTCAAGCCCGCAGCAGGTAACAGTCTCTGCGCCATTTCTCACGTTCCGTCAATTTGACAACCGATATTCTTTCGCGCATCCCTCAACGCTTTCGATACCATGCTAAAAATGAAGACCGGTCTGGTCGTACTTACGGTGCTCTTACCGTGGGTCGATGGATTTGGATGGAGGGCCGAGAGAAGGCCGAATGCTTGTAAGTTTACTTTTGGAGACTCGCCTCCATACGGAGGGCCAACAGTGATACAGCAGCAGTTGATACAAATGAACGCCGCTCTGCGCTTTCGCAGCAAGACTCGAGACACTCAGACATTTACACAAGGGCGCTGAACGAGCTCCAAGAGATGGAATCGGAACCGCTATGCCATCGCGTGGCAGCCCGCCTACTCGTCAACAACTGCGAATTGGTGGATGGGAAGAATGAAGCTACAATGCTGACTGACAGTGGCCGGCAACTGCGAGATTTCGTCGACTCTTACGCGGCTAGCTTGGCGATTTGCGATCTAGAGAGGGGCAGCTTCAAGATACCAAACGAATGCGCCAAGTTTCGTGAGCCATCCTTGACTCAAATTGCGATGCGGAGCGAACCTCAGCTTCATGTCACGCCTTCGGAGATTGGACTGTGTTTGTCGGCGCTGGCAGCTTCGGATGCAGCTTGGAGCACGTGGGTGAGCTATCGTCATAAAGCATTGAGGTTCTGCGAGGCGGCAAGGGCGGATAATGAGAAGGGTAAGAAGATATGGAGCAAGTTTGGAGAGTTTTGGCAGCTAACCTCTGGCAGACCAAAATATCTTGCTGTACCAGCGTCTTACCCAGGTCATTGCCAAACTTACCGACGGCGTCGAAGCCGAGCTGCAGAAACGGATGGACGACCTCGATAACCGTGCCCGGCAATCTATGGAGAACCTTGACCGACTCGCGCCCAAGGTAGATGAGTTAGGAGAAGGCCTGTCGAGGCTTGAGAGCTACCTCTCGGGTGATCTCGACTTTGCGATGCGAAAGGCCACCGAATCTATGCAGGACAGTCTCGAGAATGCGGAAGGTCTTCAGAAGCTACTGGGTCTTCTCTTCGCAAATGTTCTCGATGGTAGCTCCCGAGCGGCCCATGCTCATGAGACCTCGCTCCAACAGACCAAAAGGGTCAATGACGGCATGGGTGCCTTGATAGACATCGTCTCAACTGCGATGGCCTCATCCGCCTCACTGAGCCAGCAAATTGTGAGGGACCCCCCCATCGTGCTACGTTGACTGGATCGCTAACTTTAATAGCAATTCCAAAATCAACAAGCCGTTGCATTGGCCCAGCGTCAGGATGCCCTTGAACAAGGAGTTGATCGCATCCTTGCCGCCACCGAGAAGCTGTCCGACGAGGTTGAGGACCATACATCCATGCTCAAGCAAGCAAAAAACATTACGAACGAAATCTTGGATGCCCTCGAAGAAACCGCCGCTGCCGCCTTGACCGTTAACGAATCAATGTTCAAGACCGCAACGACAAAAAGCTGGTGGCCGTTTCTTGTCTGTCCCTCGGCCTCACTGGTACTGGGATCATACGGAATGCCACCTTCGATGCTCCGAAACTTTGGGCTGTTGGCTTTTGGTGAGGCCATCGGCTTTTTGGTGTCCTCATATGGCGATTTGACAACACAGTTCTCTATCACTGTTGATGCCTTCGGGGATTATGTCATGCCGTCAGAGTTGGCATCAAAGTTCGACGCCAACAACACGGATTCCACGGATTTGACAAACCTCACGGACACAGCAACGGAGGCATCCTCACTCTAATGTACATGATGCACATGATTCGTTTCATGATCTCTATTTTTATTTTTGGGTCTCATCGCTGGCGCGGTGGGATGATGATTTTCACGAAGGAAGGAGGATATGGGACACAATGACTGGGGGCTTTGATGATATAAGCCGGGATACGGGACACGTCCGTTTCTTTTCACGTAGATATGAGGACAGCCGATCATGATGATGAATGGAGATGGATCATTAATACAGAGTTATATGGAATGGTTATGTGCAGCCTCCTTCCGGGTGAGAATATTTTGGGTGAGTTCCTGTCATCAAAGTGGTCGGGTCAGCTTCAAAACGCCTGAATGTTCAGTTCAGCTTTAACTTCCTTGAAGTAGTCGGGTCAACTCTTGACACACTTATGTCGAGATGCTCCCCCCAACTCTGCGTGTGCACATACAGACTCGATCCTGACAATGATCATTCCCACCATTGATGTCCATTTTGGAGTATCACAAATGGAAGTTTTTGCTGATCATGTTGACATATGACTGTGGTTGTGTTAACAGCCAGGGAGTGGTCAGGTAATGTTGAGTGGAGTGGTCAGGTCAGTTGGAAGGGATCGACCAGGTGACTCTCAAAGCTCCCATTTGGTAAGTAACATGGTCAGGAGAGTATTTGAGAAGGTCAACAGGATTATCACGGATATTGTATTGCGCCTCCCGGTCTCGGACTCTGACATGATGGCTGTTGGTAGTAGGGGGCCGGTTGGGTCAGGTTTTGGGGGGTGGTCAGGTCAACTTTGACATTCCCGAATTGTCATTGTGTGTCATGGCAGGATTTTACTGCCGGGGAGTGGTCGCGGGCATGGGGAAGGAGGTGAGGTTGAGGTCGGAGGTTTGCATTGGGGGTCATGGATAGATGATAGCTTGATTTGACGTCTGATGTTGTGTATGGGGTTTTGTTGCTGAGTGGTGATATCTTGTAAGTGGCCAAGTCAACTTCATCCCCCCTGAATGGTCAGCTCGACTCTTTGCAAGTGGTCAGCTCAGCTCATCATCCCTGAGCGGTCGATTCGACATGCGTGTCATGAGGGGCATCATCACAACTTTTCGCTAAAGGCAGTGGTCCCAGATGGTGTGTCAAAGGTTCCTGTGGGTTGTGTCAATATTTGACTGTGACATGGTCATGTCGTCTATTGCCTGGTGAGCGGTCGGGTCAACATCTTGTAAGTGGTCAGCTCAACTATTTGCAAGTGGGTCAGCTCAACTTTGGGTCCCCTGAGTGATCGATTCAACTCTGTGTAAGTGGTCAGGTGGCATTGATGGTTGAGCACTCCCCGTCTCAAGGGTTGGCTTGATGGTCAAACCTAAATGTCAAAGAAGTTCTT